CAGTTCTCCTCCCTGTACCACAGTTTCATCACCTCTAGAATGAAGCTTGTAGTAGTCTCTACCTCAGTCTTGTTTGAGGATTAAATGAGAAAATGCATGTAAGGTGCTTAACACAGTGGTGGGCACATGGTAAGCATTAAATAAGTATTAGATTTTATTATGCTTGTATTTATGACTGTAGCTAGTATCATTATCATCATTATTGTAGTTGTTAGGATGATTATTATGATTTTGAGTATCTATGTGCTGGGTTATGACTCCCCCTAGGATATAAGTTTAGTGAAATGGTTTCCAAAAAGCCCAGGCTTTATGGAAACCCTAGCTGGCTCCCCGAAGCCTGTGGCTCAGGGGAGGGTGACTTCGGGATGGTCCCCGTCTGCCTTCCCACGCTGCTTGGTGGGCGCTATTCTCTTCGGGGCTGGTGGAGGCGGTGCCTTGCTGGCTGCTTGGAGCTCCCTGAGCTCCATCCCTCAACTGGAACCCCCAGGAGAAGTGGGTAGCTGCTATTTCAGCGGAAACCACGAGTTTTGGCTGGTATGCTGAAGGAGGGAGCAGGCTCACTCCGGGACGGCTGCGTTCTGCTCGCTGCTGCTGGTCCATCCAGCCCAGCTCCCTGGAGGGGATACTCTTGTTCAGGGTGCCCAGGGTGGGCTGTGAGGGGGGGAAGGAGAACTCTCCCAGCCTCCTCTCACACCCACTCCAACCAGGCCTCTGAGAATGAGTTGGCAATTTCTTGGAAAAGGGAATCTGCCTATTAAGTCTGCAAGAAGGAAAGGGATGTTCTGTTTTGTTTTGTTTTTAATGGTTGTGCTGTTCATGGCGGGACACCCTCCCGATGACGGTCCTGGTGTTTATACCCCACGCAGTCTCTGGAAGCATCGAACAAGGATGGCACAGGGCTCTGTGCACCAGGCAGCCACGAGCTTCCACCATGGTTTCCCCACCTGCGAAGGGACGGGCCAGGCAATGCTCCATGCGTAACTCACGGCCCTTTGTAGTTTAGGCTCCCACAGAACCGACAGCTTGATCAAGATCCCAGGGCGAGGATTCAAAGGGTGGCACCTGCATTTCCTGTCCTTGCTCAGAGCCAGTGCTGGGCCTTCCCGGTGAGCCCGCCTTCCCCCTGCCCCAACCTGCCCGTCGTTTCTCTCTTCCCAGCGTGTCTCGCAGCCGCTCACAATTTTTCTTTGTCCTGTTTATCAAACACTAGATTTCCACCTTGCAAATGTGCCAGTCTAACTAGACAGGTCCCAAAAATTGAATTGCCATGAGATACTCTGGTCAGTTTGGCTCAGCGGTTAGAGCGTCGGCCGGCAGACCAGAGAGACCCGGGTTCGGTTCCCGCTAAGGGCACGTGCCTCGGTTGCAGTTTGTCCCCTGCCCTGGTTGGGGTTGTGTGGGTGACAGCCAGTCGATGTGTCCCTTTCACGTCGATGTTTCTCTCTCTCTCTTCCTCCCTTTCTCCCTCCCACTCTATCTGAAGATTAATGCAAAAATGTCCTTGGGTGAGGATAAAAAAAAAATCGCCATGAGGAGCAGCGGGGGCCTCATGTAGTGGGGCCCCACCCCACTTCCTCTGGCCAGGGCTACCACGGAGATTCCGTTCGCATCATTTCATGTCTTTTCTCTGGATTCCAGTGATGTGCTTTTGCATAACGTATGTAAAATTCTGCTGACATTGAGAATTCATTTGGCTTGAGATGCTCAAAAGGGGGGGGAGAGAGATCTGGTCTGTGTAAACTCAAAAACTATCAGACAGCTTTGCTTTTTCTTCCCCGAGGACTGGAAGATGCTTCTCGTGGGAGTTCTTCGGGTTACACCTGATAGTCCAGTAAGCGGTTTCGCTTAAAGGGCTTTGGTTCCATGTGGGCTGTCCGTCTCCTGCTTTCAAATGAGCAGGGCAAGGGACCAAGGCCCATGTTCAAGTTCAGATGCAAGCCTGTCACTATATTGCACAGGATGTCAGAGAGAGGAGGCCCCGAGCATCTGCCTCAATCTCTCCTTTGTGGAGGAAGAAACCGAGGCTCCGTTGGCGGAGTGATATGTTACGCCAATGCGTCCTTCATTTCCTTCCAGGAAAACAGCATTGTGACGAGGGACCAGGTACCTTTCTAAGAACTTTATGTATTATCTTACTCAATCCTCACAAGAGCCCCATAACTCCAGGACTTGTTGCTATCATCCTCATCTCACAGATGCTCTATGCTCTGAGGCACAGAGAGGTTAAGTGACTCATCCAAGGTCATGCAGTACTAAGCAGCAGAGCTAGGATTCAAACCCGGATAGCCTGGCTTAAGAGTCAATTTGGGGACTGGATTTTAAAACTTTTACAAGGAAGAACTAGCAGGAGATAAAGACTCCTGACTAAGAACATAACAAGCTTATTAAAATAGTTATCTTTAAATTTTCTCTTGAAAACTTGGGGAATGGCAAGCAAAGGCCCAAAGAGGAGGAAGAATGTGCGGAGAAAGGGATGTGGAGGGAAGAACCAAGCGGCACGGCCTACAGAACCCACAGAGATAGAGTATCTGACAACTTATGGTCTAGGAAGGGTTCTGCTCTTCCCGAAGGGCTGAGTGATGCTGAACCGTCTGAGAGAAGGATGCTTGTATTGGGACACGTGTGCATTTAGGACAGCAGACATGACTGAAATTCAAGCTGTCGCAGAGATTCGAGTAGATGAGCCCATGACTACCCCACGCATGATTCAGTTATGTGCCCCCCCCCCCAGTACTACCCTTCTATGGGACTTGGGATGGCAATGCCACCATTCATTACACTGTTAAAAGTCTCCTTCTGCTTCTTTACTTCTCAGCCCTGAGGAGATATACAGATGGAAGTAGAAAGAGGATCCTACCCCAGACCCACTTCTGCAGTTGGTCAGGAGCCCCACCTGGTCATTACAGCTGCCTTCCTCCACCACCCTTTCCATGTCCCCCCACTCTGCCAGCGACTCAGCTGAATAGAAGCTTCATCTGATGGGATGACCAAATCTTTGAGCCAGATGATCTGAGAATTTGGTGCCATGCCTTTATTGAGTTTCTCAGTTTCCCATCCCCAGGGATTATTGGGCAAGGCCACATTAGGACATGGCCCAGAGAATCCCTTGAGTCCCACACAGCATCCTCCCTTCCCTTCATCTAGTTGAATCCTATTTGACAGCACTGCCTCTCATCCTGTTGGTATGAAGATGTTTGCTTACACATCTATGTACTTTGAATTGAAAGGCAGATACAGACGTAAATTTCTAAGCAAAGAAAAGTACACAAATGAAGTCTTTTTAAAAAAATACATTTTATAGTCTTTAATTAAACACATAATATATTTTTCCCTGAACTTTTTGTGAAGTTCAGATTGCAGCATGTCATTGATAAGCCTTTTGTGTTTCCTCTGACCCTCTACACCTTCTTCACAGTTCTTGAAAACAACATCATTTTCCCACCTTCTTTTAATGTTGTAGTTGGCCTGAGGCTGGGAACAAATAAAGTTTTATTGGCTAAAATAAAATACTTTTGCCAAAAAATTGAACTTGAACCTGATGAAGCTTCTAGATTTAACTAATTTATAGGAAATACAGGGAAAGGAATCTGATATCTTTAATAAATTTGGGGGGGAGAGGGAGAGAGATTGAGATTGAAATTTAAAGATTAAAAGAGACTTGAGACATATCAACCAATTGCCATGTATGGGCCTTATTTGAATTCTGATTTGAACAAAAAGCCTCTTCATGTTATTAAGACGTAAGTAGGCAGTAACTTTTACTTTTCATGTTTAGAAATTTAAATATAATAGATTATTTGTTGAACATCAATGCTAGAATTTCTAAGTATAGAGCATTATAGGGACACTGAATAACATATTCATTTCAAATCATATATATATTTTGTTGCAAAGAAGTAAAATGAAGTGCTCAGTAACAAGATTTTTAAGCATAAAATACATTCCAATAGGATGAAATTACAGAGAGAGCGTAGAAAATAAATAATGCATTTATGAAAATAAAGACATGTAAAATTTCAAGAGTTTTCATATTTTTAAAAAGTGGGTGTCAAATTGCTATGGGACTTGGATTCTGTGGACACATTTAAAAGATTAATGTAACAATTTTATTTATTTTTTTAGTGTCAGTATTTGAAACATGCCAGAAGGTATGCCCTTTGTAACTGCTGCAACGTGTGATGAAAACAGTTAGATGCCCATCTGAAAGTGCAGCAGGGCATGTCATTTCAAAATTCTTTCAGAGGAAACTCAAGCTAAAGAGGTTGAAAACCTGTTAAATCCACTACCCCTCAATAATTCTTGTTCTTGCATAATACTTATCTACAGTCTTCAGAATGCATTTCAGAAAACAAAAATTTAGATATACCCAAAAGACTGGAGGTGTGTGCTTCTCTACATCATTCACTCATTCATTCATTCATCATTTATTCATTCACTTAATAAATATTATTGATGGGTGCTAGGTTCAAAAACCTGCCCTGGCCAGTTTGACTCAGTGATTAGAGTGTCAGCCCTCAGATTGAAGGGTCATGGGTTTGATTCCCGGTCAAGGGCACGTACCTGGGTTGCAGGTTTGATCCTTGACCCTGATTGGAGTCATGCGAGAGGCAACCAATTGATTTGTCTCTCCCATATCGATGGTTCTCTCTCTCTCTCTTCCTCCCTCCCTTCCACTCTATCTAAAAATCTATGTGAAAAATATCCTCAGGTGAGGATTAACACCCTCCCTCAAAAAACTCTTGCCAGGCCCTTGAGAATACCCACCGGAATCACATACAGTAATTAAATCCTTCAATTACAGAGCCTAACAGTAATCAAACTCTTAAGCTCAAGTCATGGTTGACCCTTTGTGGAATGAAAATAGTAAGGATCATGCATTGTCCTCCTAAAAGTGGAAATGATCTCAAGAGGGTCTAGTATAAGTATATAAAAATAAAAAAGAGTATTTCAGAAGGTAGGTCATTGTTCGAGAACTAGAATTCTACTCTTTTTTTTTTTTACATCAGATGGGTAATGTGTAATGTCGTAACAAGGTTTGAAGTAGGCACATCTCACACAAGTGTGAACACCCAATCATCACACTTATGAATTTCAAAAGGATCTAGAATTCTATTCTTAATTGAAATGGCTTCTTGATTCTCTTGCAGGACCCCTGAAAAGGGAAATGAGAAGCCGTTCATAAGGAGGTCCATATGAGAGAATACATCCTGACTACTGGTGGGTAATTTTTTTTTTTTATTGATGTTAGAGAGAGGGAGAGGAAGGAAGAGGGAGAGAGAGAGATAGAAATGTTCATTGGCCACCTCCTGCATGCTCCCCACTGGGGATCAGGCCCACAACCTGGGCATGTGCCCTGACTGGGAATTGAGCCGGCGACCCTGGTGTATGGGTCAACGCTCAACCACTGAGCTACACTGGCCAGGCTGGTGGAGAATTTTTTTTAAAACCTCAAGTAGGACAGGCTATAAAGTGACATCTATATTCTGGACCTGTTACCCTGTGACGCCAGACTTCATAAATGCTTTGAAGCTTATGTGTGCTTGGAGTTCTGATGTGAGGGTAATTTACCTGCAGTAGTCTGACCCGCTCTGTTGAACAGAGTCAGCTATATTTGGGGGGCTTGGAAGATGATATTAATATTGCACATCTTTACCATAGAGAAGGGACACAGAGGTGCAAGCTGCAGTCTGAGATCTGTGGGTTCAGTCATGAGTGTATGCTGCTTACTGATGTATGTGCTAAACCCAGCAAGCTTTTGTGGAAGGATTTTTTTACTCTGTTATATATTTGTATCCACCTGCCTTCCTTAACCTACGTGCACTCATTCACACATTCTTACACATTTCAGTGTGATTCTTACAACAAATGATCCCTTCTTTGATTGTTCAGAGAAAAGTCCCTGTGCAGTGGGGACAGTGGGGACACAAAGTTCATCATTCCTTCATGAACACGCACAAGGCCCAGCTCCCTGCGGGTGACTGGCAGAGTCTGCAACCTGGATGTGTGTGTGCTGTTTTGTTTGGGCACTTAGAGGGCTGTCCCTGGCCTTTTCTCAGTGCTTACTTAAAATGTCAAGATCTGTCCACTGTTCTCAGAGAGTGACCCTAAGCATTATAAAACCCAAGGATTTCTGCTTGTCACCTGTATCTACTCACTCATTTGACAAATATTTATTGAGCACCTATGCAAAACCCTGGGCCAACCATGAGGCAGAATTATCTGTTTTTCATAGATTCTGAGACATGCATTTTTCAACATGTTAATGTCTCTAAAGTTTGAATGTTTCTATGACAATGCTTTTCTTCTTCTTGGTAACCTCCAAAACAACCCCATGTTTTACAACCAAGATTTGATGGAATACTACCTTGTCCATGATTGACTTCTCCGTTTTCACCCCAAGAGGGAAAATGCAAGACAAGAGAAGGCAAACTCACAAATCAGCAGGTTTTTTGCTTATCATCAGGTTTTTGGAGCAAAAGAAGAAGTCTTAGAGTTTGTGTGGTCTGAAGATGATCTGTGTGTTTCATTTACTCATGCTCTCCCTGGCTTAGAAACATCGTAAGTGAGTGTGAATTATCTATTGTTATTCTATGACCTTTATATTGCTGGAGAGAAAGAGAGTTCTTTCTACCAAGTAACTCATTTGGAAATTGATTTTTGATCTGTTGTTGAAACATAATTTGAGGAGACTTTCTTAGGGTACATCTATAACATGTCAGTAGAACCTAGTTAGAAAGCTTTTTAATCGAGCAAAAGAACAGTTTTTCTGTTCCCTTTATTTATCCAAACATGTATTGACTCCCTATGATGGATCAGAAATTGCAAAGTACTGTTAGGGGATAGAGACAAATGGAATATTACCTTTGCCTTCAAGGGACTTACATTCTAAAGGGAGAGGAAAACTTGTACATCATCACCGCTCGTATAAGGAAGAACGGAATGAGCGCTGTAGCCACGGGGTATCTACGTGAGATCTGCCTCACCCGTGCAGTCCACTGGCCTTTAAGAGAACAAGACTAGGGCTGTTCTCCCCTTTGCTCCTGAAATGTGTCTGCAAAAGAGAAAGGGCCCACGCGGAGCTCTGTACAATGTCTCCAAGCAGCCTTTCCATGGTTGATACAGGGACAACGCCCATCCGCTGCAGGATGGCAAGGATGGCATATTTTGAAAACTTCAGTTACCCAAATTTTCCATGTCTCTGTACCTGCCGGGGTTGGACTTACCCAGCGACAGGTCCAATCAGTGGTCTGTTCACTCCCCTGATGGCGTGTGCGGTGCTTCCTCGTCCTGCCCCCCTTCCCTGCCCAGCTCCCCCGCCCCCGCAGCCCTTCCAACTGCTTTCACCTCTTCCTGAACTACGCACTCTTGAGGGCAGGCAGCAGGCCTGTGTGACACAGAGTAGACCCTACAAATAAATGTTGCTGTATCAAGGAAGAGAAGGAAGGGAAGACAGTGTCTATTCTTGAATCTGCGAGTTTAACTAAGTGACAGAAATCTGGAGTCTGCCACAGGGCAGGAAACTGCGCCTTGGAGAGCTGAGCCAGCTCAACTCTGGGTCCCCCCCTGGCAGTGGAGAGTGACTCTCACCTCAGTCCTTTGCCCCAGCACTTGTTGACAATTGTCATTCGCATGAATGACAGGTAGTTGGGGACCTAGCCACTTTTCTCCCACCTGGCATGCAAGTGATTGAAAGTGAAGTATCAAAGAGTTAACATCAAAGCCACTCTAATTTATGCGGGGAGGGGACAAATCACTTGCAAAGTTTGCTATTCTTTTTTTAAACATTTATTTTTCTTTATTGATTTTTGAGAGAGGACGGGAGAGGGAGAGAGAGAGAGAAACATCAATGAGAGAGAACATTGACTGGCCGCCTCCTGCGTGGCCCCCACTGGGGATTTGGCCCACAATCTGGGCATGTGTCCTGACCGGGAATCGAACCCGTGACCTCTTGGTGTATGGGTCGACACTCAACCACTGAGCCACACCAGCTGGGCTGCTATTTTTTTTTAATAACAGATTTCTCGAGACAAATTAGTGTGTGGATGCCCCAATATCACCAGCAGCCCCCTGCCCAGCACACACTCCATCAGCGCTTACCTACCCCTCCCTGCCCCCACCCCTAATCCAGACCCAGAAGTCAGAATCTAAATCAGATTCTGTACCCAAATGGTCCTGCTTTTTTCTTTTGACCCACAAGATCTATAAACAAAAAGAAAAGTAGAAACATTTCCAGTTTAAAAAGAAAATCAGCCCCAGCCAGGTGGCTCAGTTGATTGGAGTGTCATCCTGTACACAGAAAGTTTGCAGGTTCTATTCCCAGTCAGGGCACATACCTAGGTTGTGGGTCCCGTTCCCAGTCAAGGGATATGAAAGGCAATCGGTCAGTGTTTCTCTCTCTCTCCCTTCCTCTCACTCTAAAGTCAATAAATATATCCTTGGGTGAGGATTAAAAATGATAATAATAAAATCAAAAAGAAAAAGAAAAATCACCCTTTCTAAATATGTTTATCTTATAACAAAACATAAGCAAAAACCTTTGTTTCTAGTATGCCCAGGTTTGTGCTGCCTAATTCTGAGACCATTACCATGTGCAATATTCGGACATACACAGACTAAAAATTATCTGTTGCTTATCTGAAATTCAAATTGAACTGGGTATTTGTATTTATCTGACAGTCTTTCATTTCTCCTTATTTATTTGTTCAATTACAGTTTACATTCAATATTACCCAGTCTCTATGTGGCTTCTTCTGTAGATCCTTGGTTATACTGCTTCTGTTCAGCTAGTCTTCAGTTGGTTATTCAGGTCGATTGATCTGTAATTTAGTTGTGAATCTGGTTTGGTGCTGGGAGGTGGTGGGTGTAGCTTCCACCTACCCTGCTGCCATCTTGGATCTCCTCTATCTGACAATCTTATCACTCACCAGACACTTTTATATTTACTGTTTCTTCTGATCAAAGGGATATGAAGTAATAAGTACCTAATAATGGTAGCCATTCAAAGATTGAGCATTCTATCAAAAGAAAAGCATTAGCCTCCCAGAAACCACAGTACAGGCAGGAGTCCCACTTGCCTATGAGAAAGGAGACTGACTGTAGGGATGAGGGAGAAGGGAGGCAGCTGGCCGCAAAGTGAGGATCAATGAGGATGGACAGAGCATCTTCTGAGGACCACAGCCAGTGCAGGGCCATCCAGAGCCACCCCAGAGAGAGCCGGCTCTGCCCAGTCCTGTCTCCTTCCTCCTGGGCCTCCAAAAAAGTGAGCGTGAGAGCCAGTGCAGTGCTTTCGAAACCATAATATCCTGACAGAGGGACCCAGCGGTTTCCAGCTTCCTTCCCTTCCCTTTGTATCTCAGCCCAGGACTTTCACACAAATTCTCATAAAAGTGAGACAAATATTTATAGGTGGAAAATATTAATTTTCCTTTGATAAACTAAAAAAAAAAAAGTTAAATTTGTGTGTGGATTGTTTAATCACAGTATCTGGAGTATATAAACATGGCACATATTATACCCCCTCTTTTTATGTGGCCTCAAAATTTGATCCAAGTCTGGGAGTTAAAAAGTCCCATTTTGTGTAATCAGGTTTTGGTTGAACATGATTGCTGAATTATTTTAAATTGAAGACACATGTCTGGAGGCTGGGCCGTATGTATTATTTCAGGATGGTGTCCATTAGGTCTTATCCACAGGGGCTATCTTCAACTTTTGCCACATTCAATGCATTCTTTATACATCACTATTTGCAAAATGGTGGATCATATATAAGGGAAAATTGGAGGGAATATGGTACTCGTTAAAGGGTGATTTTTTGAAATTATCTTGAATGCATTTTTCAGACCTGTTTCCAGTCTCCCCCGCTAAGGGTCCCAGAGCTGGTTGGAAATTTGGGGGTATGGGGGAGGATGAAGAGAATATTTTAAAGACAATAACAATGCATAAATAAATAAAACCCCACAGTCATGCAAGACCCTTCTGCAAGGCTACGGTTCTGAAAACTTTACAACTGAATCAACATTCACTTTAACTCCTTGTCAGCCCTAAACACTTTAAGTGTCTTAATTGCGGATCCAAATTATTGCCACTGCCATGAGCTTTTCC